CTTTGACATCTTGAGTGACCCCATTGCTTCACAAATATTAACAAATAATCTTAATTTAAAAGGTCTGCTTTTAATAAAATTGATCATTTGAAACACTTTGCCCATCATGTTTTTAAATTAATGTCCAGTGGTTTGTGCAACTAGTGCTTCGCTATGTAAAAGGAATGAGTAATTGTAATATTTTCACTTACTTTTTTGCTAAAGTTATACAAAATTTTGTTGAACCAACCACTGAGGATACACAAACTGTTCAAATTCCTTCACAATTTAGCCATGAAAATGACATCGGACATGTTTTAAATACATCTTCCAATCATGCAAAACTGTATAACCAAGACTTGAAAATTTTCCTTCACACTTCTTATATACTAAGACAGACTGTTGAGCATTTGATTCTGTCTTCGTTTCTTCTATAGCTGCTTCATCGCAAACATGATGTACACCATCTTTTCTTAATTAGAAACTTATCCATATTATAGATAATTCAACTGAAATTTAATGAATCCTTTTGTGCGAAAGATAAAGTTATAACTGTATTATATGAAAATAACAAAACCAGTACTCCATTCCCACAGCGATAAAGTGAGAGAACAGTCCCATGTTTACAAATGTGTCACCTCAATGTGTGGTCACATCAGCAGAAGTGATGCAGAATCAGTTTTTTGACCCGATTATGTCTACTGCATAGTACCTGTATAATCCCTCAACTGTGGTGTGTATATGTGGAAATGGCAGAAGGGGAACATATTAGTGCACCAGACTAATCAGCACCTTTGCTGGATAAAAATGCATGCAAATCGGTATTGAAAATAGTTGTTCCTTTAAATTGTATTGTTGTGTTATTTACTTACAATATTGTAAATGTATTACAATTATTTCAATCCAGAATGCATTCAGTTTATTCAGATTACTTATACTATCATTAAGCTTGATTTATTAAAGCAAATTATTTTAACTGAACAAATATTGGATGGTCACAATGAAAGGCAGCATTTTTATGTTTGTATATGCTGAAAAGGCTTTGGATTGAGTGGAGTGTGTTTTTTTTTAACTTCATTTTCAGCTTTTTATTTGGGTATATGTTTTTGAACTATGGTAAATGCACAGTTATAACAACAATGAAGAGCTAAAAACAACAAAGGAGGAGGACATGGTTGTTCGAATTATTCTAATGACCTGGAAACACTAGCAACCTCATTAGGTCCAACTCAACTTCCAAGGGAAATACAGTGGGATAAGGAAAAGATTTAAATTTCCTGAAAGGAAATGGATAGAATGGTCTTATTAACAAATTTGGTGGAAGTATTGAACTGTGTGCCAATACAATAACATGCCTTCCAAAAAGCAAATGCTCTCTTTGTGCACTGCACTAATATAACTATATTAGTATAGTCAGTGACAGGAGGGGATGCAAGGTGACTGACACTGGAGGAAAAGTCTGCTTGGAGGTAATGCTCTAATGTGTTTGAACTTGATGAATGACTTAGATAAAAAGTAACCTTGACATTAAGTCTAGTTTTGTCCGACTCTGGGAGGTGGTACTCGTCTCCTTTTCTCAGCCAAAGAACCCGCATTTTTCATGGACACCTCCAAGGTCATGTGGCTGGCATGACTGCATGGAGCGCTGTTATCTTCCTGCCGAAGCGGTACCTATTGATCTACTCACATTTGCATGTTTTCGAACTGCTAGGTTGACAGCTGGGGTAACAATAAGTGCTCACCCTGTCCGTGAATTCAAACCGCTGACCTTTCGAATCAGCAAGTTCTTCAGCTTAGCGCTTTAATCTGCCCCACCATAGCCCCTATGACTTACATATGATTAATATATTTATCATTAGTAATTATGGCATCAGTTAAATCAGCTAAAGGGACATGAGTTAAACACTTTTTGTATAGGAATCGCCACCACGGTTACGATGACTATTGTTTATTTTTTTAAAAAATCTTCATCGCATATTTCCGAGTTGCATTAAGAAGTGGACAAATGAAATGTGTAACTGTTTGTTCTTCATTCATTCATTCATTCAATCAAAATATTTTTTGATATTTTTTAGTTGAATTCCTCCCACGGTAGTCTCCAATATATAATTTAAAAATATACAAGAAGGAATACATTTTAAAACATTAAAGCACCATAGTAATATGATGAAAAACTACTAACACCAAATACTTTTAAAAAAATACTCTGATTCCTGGCTCACTCCATATTGCTGACTTGCCTGATTATATAGGCTGATTACAGAGACTGAGTACATTGCGTTTATACTTATTTTAAGGAAAATTGTGAAGTATATCTCTATGTTTACAATAGTACGGTAATTTTATCACATGCAGCCAAATGATTTTAATATAGTTCATCTTGCAGGTGGGTCATTGGATGTTACCAACACTTTGTTTAGAACTTATATTGACAAAAATGAAAACTTGATGACTGAATTGGTTATTGTACACTTACATTTAATGGGAAACCAAATATTTGTCATAACGAGAGCACAGAGGGGTTTTGCTGAGATCATAAACCAATCTGGCAGTGTTAAAAGGAAAATCCTATACCATCACTGGAATTTTATCAGGGGACTATTGGCCGAAACACAAAGGCCAGGTAAAGTGTCTAGCTTGGCTTGTTGTTGCAGCAAAAGGTGTGTAGCTGTGGGGCAAATCTGTGGCCACATATACAGCTCCCTTTCCATGAAGCTTTCCCTTCATGTGGAGGAAGCGTTTTCCTCCTGGAGAGGACTTGTGCTGATAGGATTTGAGGTGGATGAAGAAGATGATGGGTGCTATAGTTGACTCATATCTGGAGAGCTGCGTAAATCCTACCAGAGATAAATCTGAACTAAACTTGGCACACATACATATCATAATCCATCTTAAAATACTGGTGGGGTAAGGGGGCATGATAGAATATGATGGGAGTTATAGTCTACCCACATCTGGAGAGCCATGTCAATACTAACAATGGATCTGACCAAATACTGGTGTCTTGGGGGAGGGTTGGCAGAGGATGCTGGGAGTTGTAGTTCACCCACATTTGGAGACCATGTTATTCCAAGCCACAACTGAGGGCACAGCTCTCCTTCAAACCAGTCAGATAGGTTTGTCAGGATGCTTCTCCAAACACCCAGAACCCTTTGCTAGGCACAATGGAGATGGTGGCAGTTGCAGCCCAAGAAGAAGTCTGAGCTGTCTGAGGGAGACAGAAAGTACTTCTTTGTCTTTCAGTGTGGCAAATACTGTTATTGTGTGTTTTAGCAAGTGAGGTTATAAAAAAAACCCTAAGGGACAAGTCACTCCAAAACAAAGAAAGTACCATTATTGTGGGTGAGGGAAACAACATAATGAGGAATGAACGGGAAAGAGCCAGCTGCAACCCTAATAGGCATCTCAAGGGCCTAAATCAGCCAGACATGGTCAGGGCCTGAGGAAGAAAGGAAGTACTGCTTCAGTTTGTGCTTCAGCTTGGTGACTAATAAATCCACATCTTTTATCACATGAGGTGACTGCAGACTGCCGAAAAAATGCACCCCCATGAGACAAGTTCCTCCAAAAGCCAAGAAAATAAAATTACTGCCAACATGTGGGACAACCAAACAGCATGAAATATAACTAAAAAATGAGTGGGAAAGAGCCAGTGCATCAAGGTCGCAGAGACCTCAGGACAGCATGAGATCCCCATTCCACTCACCAACCAGATCTAGAGCTAATGGAAGCTCCACACTGCACAGATTTGGGGCTGATGGGAATTACATCCAGCCAGATATGGGGGCAATAGGAGCTATACCTGGCCAGATATGGTCCTGATAGGAGGTGCAATCTGACTAGGTTTTGGATTGATGGAAATTGCACTTGATCTCCTGTATGATTTTATAAATGGCCCCATTATATAGTTATGCATTTTCGAATAGGTCCGTTAATACAATCCCTAAGCAGTGGCCATATTAAACTATAACAAGAAAATAACGCTGTATATAAAAAAATCTGTTCAGTAGATTTGTTGTGTGCCTTTAAGAAATATATGACTTGGCAGTCCTATCATGGCAAGATTTGTTTAGTAGGAGTTTGCCTATGACTTTCTCTGAGGCTCAGGGTGGAGGACTTCCCAAAAGTCATTCATTGGTTTCTCTGGCAAAGACAAAATTTGAACCCTGGTTTCCCAATAAACTTAATTAGGTATTTTATGTTGCTGTGCGTGGCTTTCTCCAGACTTCTTTAAAACTCTCTCCCTCTCTCTTGCTTACAAGCAGAGGAACAACAGAGGAAGAGCTTACCAGATGCTTTTTTCCTTTCCAATATAACTTCTGGTAGCTAATTCTTTCTCTCCTGGGAGTGTTATTGATTTTGGGCAATTATGATTTAAAGTAGAAAAATAGTGGTAGGGCAACAGATTAAGTCAATACATGCTCTGATACTCTGTTTCAGAAACGTAATCATTCACATCTGCTGTTTAGTGCCCGCTGTGTGTTATCTTGTAACACATTCATCTGGTGACTGTCCCTTGCCAGGCTCCCAAAGCTCTCAGAGTGTTTGCTGACCCTCAGCGAGAGCCAGCAGTGGTCTGAGTGTGGTTCCAGAGATCTGGGTTTGATTCCCTGCTTGGCCATTCTTGAAACATATGAACTTTTTCTTTAAGCAGCTTGGAAACTAAAATTGCACACATCAATCAAATGCAAGAATACTTAAATATCAAGTGGTGATTTGTCAATGAGCCCTCCCTGGCCAACTATCATTTAAAGATGTGATACTAGGTAAGATACCTCTCTTACATGGATGTTTATGGGAATCAGCCTACACTCCCAAATTAAAATTACTAGCTTCATCTATACAGCAGTGAAGGAAAGGTGCCTGCTTAGAAGTTAGTTTGAAAATGAAAATAAATAAAAATGATATGAAAGAGGAAGAGCTAAATGCAGCATTTAACAAAATTTAATCATCTGATTCTCCTTTTCAAATCTCAAGCACAAGGGGTCACTGTTGCCTAAGGAAAGATATAGAAGAAGACTAATCTAGAGCTCCTCCCTTAAAATCCTGCCCGACACTAGCAATATCTCACAAAGAATGCTTCAGCCTTGAAATCTATTCAAATGATTACCTCAAAACAAATCTGGATAGGATCCTGTTCTTCAGTTCTTCAAGGAAAGGGATTTTGAGAAAACAGAAGACAGGGCTTTGTTCCTCTCCTTGCCATGGTTGCCTGGCAGAATGATTCTGTGCTGAAGCAGCTGCTGCATCTGATTCTCCTCCACACAGCCTGGGAGATGGGGAGCGGCCAGCTCCATTATTCTGTGCCGGAGGAATCCCAGCATGGCACCTTTGTGGGCCGCATTGCCCAGGACCTGGGGCTGGAGGTGAGTGAGCTGGTGCCTCGGATGTTTCGGATGGTCTCAGAAGGACAGAAGGACTTCTTTGAGGTAAATGTGCAGAATGGGATCTTGTTTGTGAATTCCAGGATAGACAGGGAGGAGCTGTGTGCTGATAATGCAGATTGTTCCATCCATCTGGAGGTGATTGTTGATAAACCTCTGAGGGTTTTCCATGTGGAGGTGGAGATAAGGGACATAAATGACAATGCTCCTATTTTCTCTTCAAATGAACAAATTCTGAGCATAGCAGAAGTCATAACACCAACTGGCACCAGATTCCCATTGGAGGGAGCCTCAGATGCTGATATTGGTACTAATGCTCTTCTAACTTACAAGCTGAGGCCCAATGACTATTTCAGTGTGGAACAAAAAACAGATGGCCACCATAATAAACCCTTGGCAATTGTTTTGAGGAAACCACTGGACAGAGAAGAGATCCCTACCCATCATTTGCTACTCACAGCCACTGATGGTGGAAAACCAGAACTCACTGGCACAGTCCAGCTGGTGATCAATGTGCTGGATACAAATGACAACCCTCCTGTTTTTAACCAGTCAGTTTACAGGATAAAATTGGTAGAAAATTCAGCTAATGGGACATTAGTTGTCAAACTGAATGCCACTGACTTAGACGAAAGAACGAATGGAGAAATCTCCTATTTTTTTTCTGCACATATAGCACCAAACTTTCGAAAGATTTTCAACATAAACTCCAATACAGGGGAAATAACTGTAAGTGGAAGAGTAGATTTTGAAGATAGAAGTGTATATGATCTTCAGATTGTGGCAGAAGATAAAGGCAATCCTCCATTGTCTGAGCACTGCCAATTGATTATTGAAGTGTTGGATGTGAATGACAATGCTCCAAAAGTGTCAGTCTCTTCCCTCTCAGTGCCAGTCCCAGAGAACTCACCACTAGGGACAGTGGTGGCCCTCATCAGTGTGTCAGACAAGGACTTTGAAGCCAACGGGCAAGTCACCTGCTCCCTGTGGCCACCTGGCCTCCCCTTCAAACTGGTATCTACTTTCAAGAATTACTATTCTTTAGTTGTGGCTGAGCCCCTGGATCGGGAACACATGGCTGAGTATGGATTGATGGTGATGGCCCAAGACCAAGGGGTCCCGTCTTTGTCTTCCAGCAGTACTGTAGTTGTGCCAATCAGTGACATCAATGACAATGCACCTGGTTTTGCTCAGCCCTCTTACACAGTCTTTGTGAAGGAGAACAACCCACCAGGTGCCCATATCTTCACAGTGTCTGCCTTTGACCCAGACATAGCGGAGAACAGTCTAATCAGCTACTGGATTGATGAAAAGCTGTGGCCACTGTCAAGTTACATTTCAGTACACTCAGAGAGTGGGAAGCTCTATGCTTTGCAGCCTCTGGATTATGAGGAGCTGAAGCTTTTGGAGTTCCAAGTGAATGCCAAGGATGCTGGGCTGCCCTCCTTGTGTGGCAACGTGACTATTCAAGTCTTTGTGGTGGATGAAAATGATAATGCGCCTGCAGTGACTGGGCAGACAGAAGACAACGCTATTCTTATAGTGCTTCCTGTGTCAGCTGGGCACATGCTAGGCAAGATTCATGCTCTTGATGCTGATTCAGGATACAATGCATGGCTGCGCTATGAACTCCATGAAGGAAATAGTGGACCTTGGCGTGTGGGCCTGTATAGTGGTGAAATAAGTACCATCCGCTCTGTGGATGAGGCAGAAGGAAGTAGGAGTCATAACTTGCGTGTACTTGTAAGGGATCATGGTAAGCCTCCACTTTCAGCCACAGCCACACTGAGTGTATCACTAGTGACAAGTGCCCAGGCCATTCAAACCAACATCCGCCTTCCCAGGACAGATGAGACCTCAAAGCCTAAGGCAGATCTTGTCAATTTGTACTTGATCATTGCCATCTGCTCAGTGTCCAGCTTATTTCTGCTGGCAGTCATCACGTATGTAGCTTTGCGGTGCCAATTTCAGCCCAAGGAGCCAATGGTATATGGTCCTGGAACAGCCACACTGGTCTGTGCCAGCGAAGTGGGCAGCTGGTCCTATTCAAACCGCCACAGCCACATCCTGGCAGGAGTAAATGGGGAGGCTCTAGCCAAGAATGACCTCATGGTTTTCAGTCCCAACATCCCTGCTTCTTCTGAGAATGGGAATCAGCAGGACCTTCTCTGTGGAATGGTTAGTATTATTCATGGTAGGTTTTCTTTCCTAACATTGGATTTTACCATTTGGGTGGCATAGATGAGCTTTCTCTCTAAGCAATGTTAAATGATCAACAATTTGTGAGCTGATATCACATTTTAGCTCAACTTAGCCATTTTGGAAAAAACAATTAAAAATTGCTTCTTTCATTTTCTTTTTCCCAAATTTTGTACCCCCTAGCAAAAAACCTATTTACTACTGTTAAGATATTTTCTCCCTTTCCTTGTATACTGGCATTTCTTTTATTCAAATGTTAAACTACCTTAGCAAGGTATTTGCTTTACTTGGCAAGATTCAAAGTTTGTTTAATTGGATTGTCAACAATTGTCATCAACAATCTTACATATTCATATTTGTCTTGGTCTAACAATAAGGATTTTTTTGGATTTTAGAACTGTTTTAAATTGATTTTAAATATTACTTGTTCTTTCTTTCTGCTGATTTTACTACACATAGACTTAAAAGCTTTGTTGGAAAGAAAAAAAGATTTTAAAAGATTTGAAGTATTTGTAATAAAATTATTAACAATGATTTTTCATCAATTTTTGAAATACTTGTCTTCACAGTTGGTCTTGTGAATTTAATTAATTGTCTTCTGAGAGAACTTGTCTCTGACTGAACAGTTATGTAACTCTTTGTATGCTTAAGCCTTAACTAGTGAGTCAGGCTTGGATCCATTCTTTTACATTAGTGGATCCCAACTTTTTTTTTTAACCAGGGACCACTGTCCAACATTAGTACCAAAAGGATTACAAATCATTTTTTGGTCAACTTTAGATTCGGTTTTGTTATTTAGGGTGCTGATTCAGAAAATTGCATTGGATAGACCATTTCAACTCTGGTTTCTGATACAGAACACATGCCATCCAGTAGTCACTATCTGCTCGCCCACAGAAAACCGTATTTAATAAGCCTTGCCACTATAAGAGGGTTTTGCGAGACCAGTCTCTCTTGTTGCAATGGTGTAGTAATGGTGAGGCTGCGGATCATATTTTAGTTCTTGTGGACTACTGCTGGTCTATGGACCACAGGTTGGGAACCACTGCTTTACATAGACTGGCTGATTTATGCTGAAAATATCTTAATACCATGATTTATCTGTTTCTGTTGTTATTAGAGACTTTAAATCATAGTTGTCCAAAATCAATTCCATTTATATATTGCAACCAGGTAAAAATTCATTTTTTGTTGTTAGATTTACTGATATTTATTACCTCTTTGTATTTATAGCAACTGGGAAAGGAGAACTGTACAACTGTTTCAATCTTTCACAGATCAAGGATTGGTGTTTTCCAGCTTTTATTTATAATCTTATATATTATATATTTTGCATCCGATCAGTTAACAGAAATACTCAAACAGGAAATAGTTTTATTGTTCCTTTTAAATTGCATTATTGTGCTATTTACTTACAATATTGCCAATGTATTGCAAATATTTTAACCCATAATGCGCTCAGTGCATTTAAATTACAAATTAAATTACTACTATTCTGCTTGGTTTATGGCAAACAGTTTATTTTAATTGATCAAGTATTGAATAGTCATAACAAAAAGCAGTCTCTTTATGTTTATATGTTGAAAAGGCTTTAGACTGAGTGGAGTGGAGTGGTTTTTTCTAAAAATAATTTCCTGTTTTTTTATTTGGGTATATGTTTTTGAACTGTGCTAAGTCAGTATGTAGAAATGTTAGCAACCTCATTAGGTCAAACCCAACTGTCAAGGAAATTACAATGGGATAAGGAAAAGATTTAAGCTTCTTGAAAGGAAATGGATAGAATGGTCTTATTAACAAATTTGGTGGAAGTAATGAACTGTAGACCAATATAATAAAATGCCTACCAAAAAGCAAATGTTCTCTTCTTGCACTGCCCTAACATAACTATATGGACCTCATCACATTGATGAAAATGAGTGTCCTAGGATGCTTAGAGCCTTCTTTAGGGACGGAGCCCTACGCTAGCCATCACACAACATTGTGTGACTTTTGGCTGTGACTCAGCCGCCAGTCGGAGTGGAACCATTCTTGGATGTTTTCCCCCAAACATGGGAGCTTTCCCATGTTGTGCAGGCTCCTGTGGAGTCAGCACACTTCTGCTCTGTTTGGGCGACGCTCCCCCTGTGTGATGGGGAAAGCATTGCCACTTGGAAGCTGGCAAAACAGCATGACAAAACAGTATGGAGGGAGAGCTCCCCCATGTGATGAGGTCATATACGAGTATCAGTGTAGTCAGTGACAGGAGGGGAAGCAAGGCGACTGGCACTGCAGGAAAAGTGTGCTTGGAGCTAATAGATTGTTCCTCGCTTTGCACTACAGGAGGGTATGAGAAAAAGTACAATTATTAGGTTAATGCAATAATGGATTCTGACCAATATTATCGGGGGAAAGGGAATTCTTGTATATCTCAATTTATGTGTAAATTTCACATAAATATGTGTAGGAAAGTAGCTTGAATTTACAAAGACTAAAAGAAGATGTAAAATATTGTGGTCTAATATGTTTGGAAAAATGATGTTGAATGTGTTCTTTTCATCATGGATCTTGATGAATGACTTACATACAATTAATATATTTATCACTAGTCATCAATACATCAATTAACTCAACTAAAGTGATATGAATTAAACATGTTTTATGCAGGCATCACTACCACAGTGAACATGCCTGCTGTTTATTTTTTAAATTATCTTCGTAGTATTCTTTATAGTTGTATTGAGAAGTGGATAAATAAAATGAATAACTGTCATTCATTCATTCACTCAAAATAATTTTTGATTTTTTAGTTGAATTCCTCCCTGGGAAGTCTCTAATATATAATTTTAAAATATACAAGTACATTTTAAAACATTAAAGCACCATAGCAATATGATGAAAAACTGTTAACACTAAATACTTTTTTTGGAAATGCTCTGATTCCTGGCTCCCTCCATATTGCTGACTTGCCTGATGATACAGTGATTACAGGTACTGACTATATTGCACTTATAATTATTTTAAGGGACATTTGTGAGGCATATATGTTTATAATAGTATTTTTTTTCAGATGCAGTCAATTTATTTTTAAATAGTTCATCTTGCAGGTATGTCATTGGTTGTTATCAACACTTCATTTAGAGCTTATATTGAGAAAAATAAACACTTGATGACTGAATTTTTAATTGTACACATGCATTTAATAAAAAAACCCCAAATATTTGTCATAACCAGAATACAAGGGCTTTTGCTAAGGCTATAAATCAATCTGGCAATCTGGCTGTGTCAAGAGGAAAATCCTGTACCTTCACTGAGATTTCAGCAGGGAACTAATGGCCCTCATCACAAAGACCAGGTGAAGTGTCCTGCTTCACCTGGTATTGTGGTGAAAGGAGAATGACAGCAGGGTTAATCAGTCACCTCACGTACAGCCTCCTCTCAGTGACACCTTCCCCATCACACTGGGGAAGCATCGCTGTTCTGGTGAGGACTCGTGCTGATAGGGTTTGAGGTGAATGAAGAAGATGATGGGTGCTATAGTCCACTCATATCCGGAGAGCTATGTCAATCCTACCAGAGATGAATCTGAACCAAACTTGGCACACATAACCATCATAATCCAACTTAAAATACTAGTGATGTAAGGGGGCATTATAGAGGCAGATGGGAGGTGCAGTTTGCCCACATCTAGAGAGCCATGTCAATCTTAACAATGGATCTGTATCTGGACCAAACTTGGCACATGCATTCATTGTGGTCCAAACAATACAATACAAAAAATACTGGTGGCATTGGGGAGGGGGGGTGACAGAGGCTGATGGGAGTTGAAGTTCACCCACATCCCGAGATCATGTTATTCTGTGCGACAACTGAGGGAACAGCTCTCCTTCAAAAACCAGCCAGATAGGTCAGCCTACTTGCCAGGATTCCTCTCCAAACACCCGTAACCCTTTGCTAGGCACACTGGAGATTATGAGAGTTGCAGCCCAAGAAGAAGCCTGAGCTGTCTGAGGAAGACAAAAAGTACTTCTTTGTCTTTCACTGTACCTAAAACTGTAATTATGTCCAATGCGCCAGGGCGGCAAATATTCAGGACAGAGTGATAACCAACCAGACCTAGGGCTAATGGAACATTGCACAGATTTGGGACTGATGGGAATTTCATCCTGCCAAATATGGGGGTAATGGGAGCTACACCTGACCTGATAGGAATTACAACCTGACTAGGTCTTGGGCTGATGGAAACTGCATCTGATACCCTATATGGTTTTATAAATTGTGCCATTATATGGTTATGCATTTATGAATAGGTCCATTAATAAAAACCATAAGCAGCGGCCATATTAAAATATAAGAAGAACATAATGGCATATATATACTCAAAAATATGTTTAATAGGAAGGCTACTAATAAAAATAGATTTGTTGTGTGCCTTTAAGTAATTTCTGATTTGACAGACCTATTATGGCAGGATTTGTTCAGTAAGGGTTTGTCTATGACTTTATCTGATGGTGAGAGTGGTGTGACTTCCCAAAGCCATTCATTGGTTTCTGTGGCAAAGGCAAAATTTGAACCCTGGTCTCCCAGTGGACTGGGAGGGTACTGTGTGGTTTTCTCTAGATTTCTTAAAAACTCTCACCTCTCTTGCTTGCAAGTAGAGGAACAACAGAGGAAGAGTTTACCAGATCCTTTTTTTCCTTTTCGCTATAAGTTCTGGTAGCTATTTCTTTCTCTTCTGGATTTGTAATTGATTTTGGACAACTATGATTTAAAGTCGAAAAAATAATTGGTGGGCAACAGATTAAGCCAATGCATCCTCTGATATTCTGTTTCAGAAATTCAGTTGTGCATATCTGCTATTTAGTGCCCACTGTCTGTCTTGTAACACACTCATCGGGTGATTGCCCCTTGCCAGGCTCTCAGAGCTCTTAGAGTAGTGGTTCTCAACCTGTGGGTCCCCAGATGTTTTAGCCTTCAACTCTGAGAAATCCTAACAGCTGGTAAACTGCTGGGATTTCTTGGACTTGTAAGCCAAAATACCTGGGGACCCACAGGTTGAGAACCACTGTCTTAGACTGTTT